CAATACAAATTAGTGAATTAAACATGAGATTGTAGTCCATCACAGGAGCGAGCTTGGAGCTCCATGGGCAACAAAAGTATCCGAAGAAGGAAGGACAGCGCATAGGCGTGTGCACAGGGAGTGCTTGGGCAGGGAACATGGGGGGAGTATATTGTTTTATGTGTGAGGGGGCAGGGAACGGGGGGAGCATGTAAACGCCTGCTACGTAATGGTATGTGGTATAAGTACATGCAGTTAGGAATCATTCTCCCTGGATGCACAATCAATGCATCCAAATTTGAGAACGTTTGCCTTTCAATTTCCATGCCGTTAGGCTTAACTTTCCTGGGAATGGATGTACTGTAAGGGCCCTTGAGTCAGAAGTTCTTGGCGAACTGGTAATTGCAAGGAGGGTTCCGTGCTGAGGTCTAACAAGATTGAGAACCACGGGCTCCTTAGCCAATATGGAATTATTGCTATGACAACCCCTTGTTCGGCTGCTAACCTCTGTAGAAACCTCAGAATCAGAGGGAGGAAAGGCATATCCCAGTTTGAATGATCATGGGTAGGTCAGGGCGTCCACTGCTAGTGCTTGTGGGCAGCTGAATCGGACAACAAAGTTCATGGATTTTGTATTAGTCCAGCTGGCAAAGAGATCTATTTGAGGGGTACCCATGGGTATGCCGCTAGGGAAGTCAGAAATAGAAAAAGATTTTGGGGTCATTGTAGACCACAAACTGAATGGTAGCTTGCAGTGACAAGCTGCGGTAAACAAAGCTAGCAGGGTCTTGTCCTGTATTAAGAAGGGGATGTATTGCAGGGACAAGTCTATTAATTGTGCCTCTATATAGATCGTTGGTTCGGCCACATCTGGAGTACGCGGTCCGGTTTTGGTCGCCGGTACTGAGAAGGGATGTCCTTGAACTGGAGAGAGTCCAGCGGAGGGCAACAAAACTAATTAGGGGAATGGAGGACCAGAGCTATGAGACAAGGCTTCTGACCTTAAACATGTTTACGCTGGAATTAAGGAGATTAAGGGGGGATATGATTTTCATGTACAAGATGTTCAATGGTGACAGCAACATTGGCAACAAACTGTTTGAGATTAACTCCATTACAAAGACTAGAGG